AGGTTGAGGCTGCAGTGGCCGTGAGCGTGCCACTGCACTCCAGTCTGGGCAACAGAGTGAGACTCCGACTCAAAAAATAAATAAATAAATAAATAAAAAGGATGAGGAGAGAGGTTCAGACAGCACCTGCTTCACCTTGTTCACAAGCTCCTGGGACAGAACTCAAGGTGGGCCACAAAAGCCATGAAGACCAACTGGCCTCTTGCTGTAACAACCAAGACAGGACACCTACAGATGCAACCTCCCAACCTCCCAACCTCCCGGTCCCAGTCTGGCTGACAGTCTATAGTTGTAAAAAACTTGTTGAAGAGGCTTATTAGTATGATGGAACTAAGAGCCCTTCCCCATTCACTAAGATTCCTTCCCCATTCACATCAGACACACACAAGGCAAATTTCCCCTTCCCCTGCCTCTCAGCTGGGGCTTCTGGGAGTCTCAGGCCCATGGCCGTGGGGTATCGGAGAAGCACCACTGTCCTCTGGGCCAGACAGAGGGTACAGAAGGAAGAGGGGTCAGGCGGCCAATCCTCTAGGCTGTTTTCTACCAGCCTGTGATTTAAGGCTTGACACACAAGGCACACTCCATCCAGGCTGGCAGACAGGAACCAAGGGCTGCCCGCTTCCTGGGAAGGACTTAGAAGGAGGGCTGGGGGGGATGACTACAGGCAAGAAGACAAGCAGTGGGCTCCTAATCGGGGAATGGAATGGGAAGAGGTATGGAAGAGGCAGGGAGATGGCAGAGAGGTGGGGGTCTCACTCTCAGCTTCATGCTCAGAACACTAGGTCCTAAGAAAGCCCTAGGGATAGCAGGATTCTTCAGTGGGAGGGAAGCCAGCTTCCTGTAAAGATGCCGGATGAAGGAGCGGGACAAAAATAAACAGGAAAGAAAAATGAGATGTGAACAAACAGCCAGAGGCCTAGAGGTTAGAAAGCCATCTTGGCAGGGGAGACAGACTATCATTTTCACACCTACAGGGGCCAAATTCTGGGTCCCCTTTCCACGGATCCCCGGAGTCCTGTCAGGAGGCAGAAGCTGGGCGCAGGGGGCAAACAAGGGGGAACGTCAGGGTGAGGGGACACAGAAGAGGGGAGGGGACACTGGAACAGTCAGACTGAAGAAAGCCACAGAAAGGGGCCAGAGAGTCCCTCCCCCAGCAATTGGCTGCCTCCCAGCCGGTGACAGACACACTTGGAGCTGGGGCCACAAAGCAACAAGAATGCTGAGCAAAACTAGGCGCTGCACGTCCACTCAGCCCCCGCTGCCGAGGCCCACACTGGGTTAGAGCTTCTGCCCTGACAGGAGGAAGGCTCGGCCATCCAGGGAAGCAGGCTCTCAGGTGGACAACCCAAATCCAGCAGGAGGCAGGCACTGCAAGGCGGTATGTACACCACTGGCTTAGCAAGAGGCGAGCAGGCACAGACAAGAGGAGAACGCCAACTCTCACTTCCTCTGCACAGCAGCTGCTCCTGCACGTTCACACACTCATTCACACGCACAACACTCCATCTGAGGCCAGGACACACATTCACTTCACACCCTTGGGGACCTGGCAAGTTGGAGCCTCACCCAGACTGTTCCCGCCACAAGCCTGTAGGATCCGCCGGGCTCGCTTCTTAGCATCTTCTGGGAAGCTGGGGCTGTCCAACAGGTTGGGGTAGGTGCAGAGTGCCATCACCTGAGGGGGACAAGTTGCAGGCTGGGCTCCCGAAGGAGACAAGGTAGGAGACAATGGGACGATGACAACTGCAGGAACGGTGCTGCAGCGAGTTACTCTTCAGGGACTCAACCTGTGGGGGCTGGGGTGGGCAGAGAGGAGGATGCTGGGCTCCTCACAGAAGGGGTGACATGGAGTCAGGATAGATGTGACCTGGGCATGTGACCCCAAAGGGTCTGCAGAGAGGGCCCAGGAGCAGAGTGAGGCTGCAACCCGGCCCTGACCCAGCTCTTCCACAAAGGGCAGTGGGTCCACACCCAGACCTAAGAACCAGGGGTCTCCCATGCAAGGGATGGGGCCTAGAGACAGGAGCACTGCACTCTCCCCTCTCACAGCCAGCACCCCAGCACCCTGGGCCCCCTTCTCCCAGACGCCTCCTCCTCATCCTCTTTTCTCCCCAACTGAAAACCAGGTCAGCCTTCTCACCTCTGTAATGAGAAAATAACCCTACCTCACAAATTAAGAGGATTAAGCAAGGACATGTGTACAGAAGTGGTGGTAAACCCCAGCTCGCCAGGCAAGTCGGAGCTGGCAACTCAGGAGCAGAGCCAGGTGACTAAGGAGGCCAGGGCTCATGGCTCTGACACCAGCCAAGTGACTTCAGCAGGCGCTTGGTTTTGGGGACCCCAGCTCCTTAACTGCACAGTGAGCAGTGATCAGCCTGCCCTCCTCCCAGAGACACTTGTGATGCCTGAAGTCGGCAGCACTGAGCAGGAGAGCAGGGCCTGCCACGGCCAGAGTTCGAAATGCAACTGCAGGCAGTAACCACTGAGGCCTGTGTTGGAGCCTCTTCATGACCTGAGCCCCAAGCCACTTCAGGCCCCTCCCCTCCAAAGCCAGGACCCTCTGACCTCCTCCCCCATTTCCCTGGCAGAGCCATTTCCCCATCCCAGGGCCAGTGTGGGCACTTTTCCCTCATTATCCTGTGTGAACTCCCTCAGGGGCTGTGGGCTGAGGCTCCCCAGGCCCCCACCCCCTAGTCCTCTGCCCCAGAGAGCATGGCAGGGAAAAGGCAACAGGGTGTCCCACCCTCACTTCCCCGACTGCCCAGTCACAAACCTTGACCACACACAGGACCATAGTTTGCCTCAGTTGTCTTCCAGAAAAAGCTTTCGCAGGGCTGGGTTTCCACCTCTGTTCAGGCTGCCCTGTGACATTCTCCTGCTCTGCTCTCCCTGTCTCCAGCCCACCAATCCCACCATTTCAGCCCATGAGGCATGCTTATGGGTGGTGCTCACACTGGAACACTGAAACTTGCCTCCTCCTGCAATCCTTAGGAGTGAGCTGGGTCACACTGGAGGCTGCCAGGGAGCAGCAGCTCACAATGGCTGATGCCCCCATACTCTAATCCTGGGTTGAGGGGAGGCCATTACACAGCGTCTCACCATGGCCCCGGAAGTCCCGAGGCAGTATTCTGGTGATCTCCACAGCTGGTAAGTGACTGAGCCAAGTGTTTCCCTTGAGAAGCTGTACCTTGACCCCCTCCTCATGCCACCTTCCAGCCCAGTGGGCATCTATGCCTCCCAGGTTGCTGCCTTTGCCAGTCAAACTCATAGCTCAGAATCCAGGACCACGCGCCATGAAAAGTCTCCCTGGGAGCCTCTATGCCAGAGCAGCCCCAGATGGGTCTGGGAATTTCTGTCAACCTTGGAAGGGGAGAAGGCTAAGGGAGAGAAACAGATCAGGTACAGGAAGGGGCTGCGATTTCAATGGCACCTGCTGTGTCCTGAGGGAGGTGGACAGACAATAAGGCAGGTTTTGGCTCTTCAAGCCCGTGATGGCTGGTTCCCTGCTCTCCCAGCCTCTGTTCCTGAGGGCAGGCTCACCTGTCGTAGGAAGGTGATTGGCTGCTGGCCCATGGCATGGGCATCCCCGATGTTGGCTCGTATGACCTCAGTGAATGGTTTTTTGATACCCTGGGCAGAGAGAAGGCAACGGGTGGTTACTCAGAGGCTCTCATGCCCTGGGTTTCTAAGGCCAAGGAAAACAGGATATTAATAAACAGTTTATCTTGAGTGTCCAACACAGTGCCAGTCAATTGACATGCCTGGTTCTATTCAACCTTCACAACCACCCCATTAGGAAGAACTAGTATTAATCCCATTTTACAAATGAGGAAATTAAGGCTCAAAAGGCTAAGAAACTTGCTCGAAGTCACATAATTAATCAATATGAGTACTGGGACAGAAACTCAGAAGCCAGACTCCAAGGTCACCCTTCTTAACCACTATGTGCCACTGCCTCCCATGTTCTGGAAAGGCTGGAAGAGTTTTCCTGGGCTGCCACAGTATCCTGAGCAGCTGCAGATCCATGGCCTTACACTGCTGCACAGCGATGTCTAAAAGGCAGCTTGGGCAAGTGTGGCGGGAAGGAGGCAGGGTCAGCAGCAGAACATGCCAGTGTCAAGGGAGGAGGCTTCCACACTTCCCTGCATCCTGCCCTCCACAGCTCCACCTCAACAGTTTAAGTAGAGGGCCAAGGACACCAAGGGCACCCTCCCCTCCAGAAGACACTGGTCGGCAGGAACTCTCAGGGCTATTCTCTTGCAACCCTTGCTTTGCAAGATGAAGAATGTAAGGTGATTTTCACATTCTAAAAAGAGCATCAGGGATGAAAAGACTGAAGAGCAAAATTGAGGCCATTGCCTGAGCAATGTGTTTAGCACTGAAAAGAGATCAGAGAGAGAGGAACTCAGAGATCCTTGTGACGTCACTGGGGAGGTGACCAAAGGATACCCTGGCTGCTGCAAAGGCAAAAATGTAGTCTGACATAAAGATTTTTTTTTTCCACTCACCCTCCCTCCCGCCCCCTTCCTTGTTCCTACCCCACCTCGCAGAAAATCTGGAACAATTGACACAGAGAACTGTGAGGACCTGGAGACATGGGAATTCTGCACAGCTCCCTGCAAACTGAGAATCAGCCATGGAAGGGATGGAACCAAGAGCAGGGTCGACTTCCTTAGGGGTGGCCAAGAGGATTAACTGAGACAAACAGTATGACAGTACTTGACAGGGTACAACATTATCACCTTATAAAGCCGGCCCAGGACAGAGGTCATGAGTGCCCCAGTGGAGGAAAAACAGGGAGGGCAAGGAGGTGCTAGGAGCCAGCACCGGCCCCTCTCCAACTGCCCCTCTCCAAAGGCCCAAACACAAATTTTAAAGATCTAGTTGTGATACTTTTCTTCCTTTCCATGCAATGTGCGAATAAAAGTAATTTTTTTTAAATTCCAGAGCCCACTTGGTCTTTTTGCTGGGATATTGGCTCATGCCTGTAATCCCAGCACTTTCGGAGGCGGAGGTGAGAGGATTACCTGAGCTCAGGAGTTTGAGACCAGCCTGGGCAACATGGCGAGACCTCTTCTCTACACAAAATTTTAAAAAATTAATTAGCTGGGCATGGTGGCACATGCCTGTAGCTCCAGCTACTTGGAAGGCTGAGGCAGAAGGATCGCCTGAGCCCAGCAGGTCAAGGCTGCAGTGGCCGTGAGCGTGCCGCTGCACCCCAGCCTGGGCAACAGAGCGAGACTCCAACTCAAAAAAAAAAAACTTGGCCTTTTCAAAATCAGTAATATACACCTGAATTAAAAACCAGTGGGCTTGAGAAACAACAGCAGCTGTCAAACAATTTTTTCTGACTGTTGTTTGCCACCCTTAAGCCAAAAGCAAGGTGGCATGGAGACCTGAGAAGACATCCTGGAAATAGCCTTGGCCTTCATAAATAGGGCCTAAGTCTCTGAAAGCTATGCTTCTGGGGGATATGGAGGCTCTTGAAGTCCCCTGTGCCCCCTCCACCAAGTTATTCAGGGTTGGCCACCATGTGTACGATCCCCAGGGACACTGAGAAGCAGCCAATGTGTCGGAGAGCCAAAGCAGAGGCACTACCCACTGCATGGGATGTGGCAGGGGAGAAGAGGAGAGGACCCTGGAGAGACTCAGGTTGCAGGTGTGTGGCCTCAGTCTCTTCCCACAGGCGGGAGTCAGGAAGGCTGAGGGTGGGAGTAGCTACCAATGCTACTGTGTGAAAGGGGGCAGGCCCAACACACCTCCTGGCACTGGCTCCTGGCACAGGACCTTCTGTCAGCCTGACTGAATTACTGAAGCCCCCAGACTTAGCTAGCCAGACCCAGGTGATTTCTGTGGTGTGGGCACAGTCCACTCCTCAGCAGGGAGTAGATCTGTCACAGTTGTGAGGGCCAGGAACCAACATACAGCTGTGGGCTCTAGGCCAGCCCAAACCAGGGAGAGAAGAACGCCTGGAACAGAGCCTGAATGTTCATTCCCGTGCCCTCCCCCGCACTGCTCAACCAATCCAGGGCCTGTTGACACAAGCCTGGGAACACTGAACATCTCCATTCTTAGGTCTTGGTGTCCACAGACCCTGGACATTTTGCTATGATGGATGAGCTAAGGGTCAGGAAACTGGCTCCCTTGAATGGGCAAAGGACCAGCCTGTCCAGCCAAGGGCCACCATACAAAGAAGCGTGTTCTGAGCAGACTCTGCACCTGGGCTCTCAAGGTCTACATGGGTTGGGAAATTCCAAGGAGCCTGGGGCAGACTCCCCGTAGTGACCGCCCACAGTGACTCACCCAGACCTCACAGGCACACCCAGTGGTGCTCTTGCTCCAGTCCAGCCCCCAGGGCCCTGCCAGGTCAGATGGACTAACAAGCATATGTCTTCTGGTCTCCTCTCACAGAATTCCAGGGCCCACTAATCCACCAGTACACATCCTGTCCGGAGCTGCCTCCCTGTGTGGTCTGAAAACAGATCCTACCCAAGGGGGCTCCCTTTTCACCACTTTGGCTCGGGTAGGAATCAGGGGAGTAGGAGAGGGCATTAGTGGGGAGAAGAAAAAGAAATCTCTCATTGTTCCTCCCAGTCCACAGGCCCAGCATCACCATGAGGGTCGAGGCTGAGGATGGTTCTAACAGGCACAAGGCACAGCAAAGGAAATAATCAATGAGATAAAAAAGCAACCTCCTAGCCGGGCGTGGTGGTTCATGCCTATAATTTCAGCACTTTGGGAGGCAAGAGGATTGCCTTAGTCCAGGGGCTCAAGACCAGCCTGGGCAATGTGACAAGACCTCGTCTCTACAATAAAATTAAAAAATTAGCTGCATGGGGTGGTGCGCGCCTGTAATTCCAGTTACTTGGAAGGCTAAGGTGGAGTGATTGCCTGAGCCCAAGCAGGTTGCCACTGCACTCCAACCTAGGCGACAGAATGAGGCTCTGACTCAAAAAAAAAAAAAAAAGAACAGGCGACTTCCAGAACAAGGAACAAAGTTGACCCTCTGCACCCACATGCTCAGCATCCATGGATTCAACCAACCATAGATAAAAAGCATTTTAAAAATGCTGTCTGTATTAACATGTATACATTTTTTCTTGTCATTATTCCCTATATAGTATAACTATTTACACAGCATTTACACTTATTAGGTATTATAAGCAATCTAGCGATGACTTAAAATATATGAGAGGATGTGTGTAGGTTACATGCAAATACTACATCATCTTATACCAGGGACTTGAGCATCCTCAGATTTATGTATCCGAAGGAGATACTGGAGCCAATTCTCAGATACCAAGGGTCGACTGTATTTGCAAATCATATATCTGATAAGGGGTTCCTTTGTTTGTTTGTTTGCTTTTTTGAGTTGGAGTCTCACTCCTTCGCCCAGCCTGGAGTTCAGTGGCTGCTCCCGGCCACCGCAGCCTCGACCTGCTGGGCTCCGGCGATCCTTCCGCCTCAGCCTTCCGAGTAGCTGGAATTACAGGCACGCGCTACCATGCCCGGCTGATTTCTTGATTTATTGTAGAGATGAGGTCTCGCTGCCCAGTCGGGTCTCGAACCCGCGGGCTCAGGCAATCCACTCACCTCAGCCTCCCAAAGGCGCAGGATTACAGGCTGAGCCACCGAGCCTGGTTCAAGGGGTTCCTTATATCCAAATACCCAACATATCTAAATAAAGAACTCACACAACAGCAAAAAAATCTGATTTTAAAATGGGCAAAGGACCTGAATTGACTTTCAAAAAAAGACATACAAATGATCAACAGATATATTTTTTAAATGACCATCATCACTAATCAAATAACAAATCAAAGCCACAATGAGATATCACCTCACACCTGTCAGAATGGCTATTCCCCAAGTATTAAAGTGTTGGCAAGGACATGGAGGAAAGGGACCCCGTGCCCACTGCAGGTAGGAATGTAAACTGGTACAACCACTGCAGAAAACACTATTGAGTTTCCTAAAAAATAAAAAATAGAACTGCCTTACCATCTAGCAATTCTAATTATGAGTATATATGCAAAGGAAATGAAATTGGCATCTCAAAGAATTACCCAAGCTCCCATGTTCACTGCAGCATTATTCACAATGGTCAAGATATGAAATCAACCTGTGTCTGTTAATAGATAAATGTATAAAGAAAATGTGGTACATACGAGGTGGGGGGGACCCAAAAAAAGCTCAGAATTTATTTATAAATTCTTCAAAGTACTCTCCATTTGATGCAACATACCTATCAAGTCATTTTTTCCAGTGCTCAAAACAATTTTTAAACTCGTCAATTTTGATGCCTTTTAGTGCTTCTGCCATTTTTTGTCTCACTACTTCCATATCGACAGAACATTTCCCTTTAAAGACTTTTTTTTCCGTCCAGGGAAACAAAAGACTGTTGCTCAGGGCAAGACTGAGTGAATAGGGAGGGTGGGACATGGGAGTCATGTCACTTTTGGTCAAAATTGAATACTCTTTGTGGTGTGGGCAGGTCGTTTATGTAAATCACCCATCATGAAATGGCCAGATATGTTGGAAGAATCTCCAAAAAAAATAATTCTGAGGCTGAGGTGGAAGGATCGCCCAAGCCCAGCAGGTTGAAGCTGTGGTGGCTGTGAACATGCCAC